CTATACGTTATAAATTTACTTACTTTCTACCATTGTAGTAAATTAGTTTTAAAATTAACCACAGGTTTTTGAAGATATTCCTCTAGTTTATCTTCATCAAAAGAATTATTACCTATTCAAATAAGCTAAAAAAATTGCTTTATTTTGATCTTAAGCTAGATTATTAGTAATTAAAAAATTATCTCAGTAATACTTATTATACATATCACTAATAATTTTAATATATTATCAATAAACTCTTATTCTTATTATTGTTGCTAATAGTACTTTAATTTTATTTAAGGATTAAAAACTAAAAAAATATAATAAATATATTATTAGAGATTAAATAAATTTTTAATGAAAATAATTTAAATTAAATATTTAATACTTGTTACAATTAGATAGATAATTGATTGATCTATTTTAAAATAATAAATCTTAAGTTTTTCGTATCTTTTTGCTATAGCAGTCCTTACTTCAGGAATTATACAATACTTTTTATTTTCACTATCAAGAAGTTTCTTTAAATGATCTAATAAAATGTTATATATAGAAATTGAAGAAGAAAGTGTAACACATTGTGATTTTGACATTTCTTCAGTTGCTTTATAAAAAATCTAATTATATATAAAATTGTACTTAGAAATGATTTGAATTTGAAATATAATAAAATTTAACGAAAAAAACTTTTACCTTATTTTCACTATCAAGAAGTTTCTTTAAATGATCTAATAAAATGTTATATATAGGAATCGAAGAAGAAAGTGTAACACATTGTGATTTTGACATTTCTTCAGTTGCTTTATAAAAAATCTAATTATATATAGAATTGTACTTAGAAATAATTTGAATTTGAAATATAATAAAATTTAACGAAAAAAACTTTTACCTTAAATATACAACATAATTCTTCTATGTAATTTCATTTTTTTTATCAAAATTAAAAAAATTTTTTAATTTTTGTTCAATCATTATTATATTAAAATTTTTAATAAATATTATCTTCTGAAGTTCAAGTACACATTTTAGCATTAAATACGTAGAGTTTCACCTCATCTTAACATCTAAAATAAGGTTTAGATTTTTAATGTCTTGATAAAGATCACATTAACTGAAAAATCTTGCTTTGTATTGTAGGAAGGCTTAGATCTTTACAATAAGTCTTTTCAGCTAAAATATTATTAATATTTTAAGTTTATTGTAAATATATATAACATATTTTTAATAAATAATTCTATTCATATAATCCATATTTTATAAGTTTACCTTAGGTATTATTTCATATAAATGAGCATTTTTCTCTTCTAAAATCAAATTTTCATCCTTTGTATTTTTAGTTTTAATATGATTTAATATTTTTTAAACTGTGAGATTTATAATATGAATGATGCATCTAATATGATTTCATTAATAATAAAAATCAATTTGATTTTCATTGCAAGTTTGTTCAAAAGTCCTTAAGAAAGTATTATTATTCGCAGTATTATTGACCATAATTTTAAAGATCTAATAATAAGTGATTAACTTATTAAATTTATTATATAAAGTAAAAATAAACTTATCACTTACCTTTGTTACTATTTTTTTATCCTAAAGAAATTTCACAAATGCTTATGCTAAATTTTCACTTGAATGGAATTCTTTAAAATAAACAAAATCTACAAGAACATCTTTAAAATTTTAGTCAGAATCAATATAAAGAGCTATTATGCTGAGAAATCTAATAATATTAGATGATGTCTACCTATCTAATATGAAGCTTATTTTTCCTTGATTATTCTTTAATTAATGGTAAATTAGTTTAATTAAATGATAATTGTAATTTGTAAATATTATAATTTATTTTACTAACCTGTAATATATTTTGCAAATTCATTTTATAGTTATTACATAATTTAATAATATCATTTCTTGCTATATCTGCTGATAGAATATATGCTATCAGATTATAAAGTTTTATTAGAATATGAAATTTAGATGATTCAATAATAATGAATGGTTGATCATTAGCAGTGACTCATTTAGCAAGTTTTTCTCAAAAAATTTCATTAGAAAATATTTAAATAAAATAAATATAATAATTAAATAATTTACCACTTTAAGAGTAAAAAAATAGAATAAATTATACTTATTATTTTATCATCTGACTGTAGAAATTTTTTTATAAGTTATACTTAATTCACAATTTTAAGATCAATTTTCTTTAGATGTGACTTAAGATGACGATTTAAGTTCAATTTTCTTTAGATGTGACTTAAGATGACAATTTAAGTTATTAGTTGAACTTTCATTACTTATATTATACTTATCATCTCTAATAAAAATAGTTTTTTTTTTAAAAAAAAAAATATGTTTTAAATTTATTCCTATCTATATAGAAATGCAGATGAAATTATTTACTTTTTATGCAAAAATGCTTGTATTATCTCTTATAAATAATATTGACACTTTGCTTATATAATACTTTTATTATCTACAAATTTATTAAAATAGTCCTATACAGCAACTTTTATTTTTTTTATCATTTTCATCTAATGATCTTAAAACAGAATTCGATTTTTCTAAAAGTCTGCTGCTTTTTTTATCTAAATTGAGTTCTTCATTAGGAGCATTTTCTTTTAAGTTTGAATTAATTTCATAATGAGAATGCTTTAAAAAATTTTTGTTAAACATTTTAAATACTTGAAAATGAAAGTATTCAAGATATGAAAAAAAAATGAAAAAAAAATTGATGAACAATTAATAATATAGTTAATAAAATTTTATTATAAATTGATTTAGATCTAGCAGATCAAATTAAGAATTTAACCTGATTTGATGTTAGGTTATCAAATTATAGATCTGACCTGAAATTTTTAGGTTAATCTGTCAAGTCATTCGATCTGTCAGGTCAAATTCAAAACTCTATTAACAGATTTAGACTCTAGTAAATTCTTAATCATTATGATCATTATCTAATAACAATAATAAAATTTAGAAATTAAATATAGTAGAATAATTATTTAATAGGTATAAGTAATCAATCAAGTATATAATAGCAATTTTTTAAAATTATAATATCAAATATTTAGTAAAACAGCTAGAATATCTTGAAAAATAGATTATATTTTTTCTATTAAATTTTTTTAAAACTTATTTCATCTGATGCATATTTAAAATTTAAAGTATATGAATTTTTAACTTTTATAATTTAAGTTAATGTTAAAATATTAGCCATAACTTAAAATATAATATATTCTTTCAAAAAAAAAGTATTATAATTTGAAAGGTTATAGATTCATATGAAGTATATTGTATTTTAATTTGTATATATGTTTATCATTTTGAATATTATTTATTTAAATTAAAAAGTTAATACCAATATTGTACTAATTATCCTATAAGTAAAATTAAAAAAATTGTTAAAATTATTAAAAGACTTTGATTTTATTTAATAAAATGATTATAGATAAGATAGAAATGAGTTGAATATTATTAAATTCATTTATGATATTAATATATAATAAATATTTTTTTAGATAATAATATAGATCTACTTTTTGAAAAATCTCTGAATATTTTAATAAATGTATAATTTAAAAAAATATATTATTATGTATTATATATAAGATATAATTAAAAAGATATAAATAATAATTTTAGTTTAATAGTTTAATATAATTTTATATATGAGTAATAAAAAATTTGATTTATAAAATTCTCTTTATTAAATATCTTTTTCATTTAGGTTAAATATCATATTAAATATTTTTGATTAATTAAATATCTTTTGATTTAAATATTTTTTTGATTAATTATTTTTGATTTGATTAAATATGAAATTATGTGATTTTTAAATTTCAGCAATAATAAAAATGATCTATAAAATTGGCTAATCACAATAAAAGCTTGCTATTATAGATAAATTAAAAATTTTGTATATTATTTATAAGATAAATGATGATTTTAACAAAAAGATAAAATATTTATAAATAATCTTAAATGAAGATTAACATTAAAGTGGAACTTTTTGATTTATATTTAAGTGTAAAAAATAATATTAAAAAATATATTGATAAGAATTTTATTGATAATCATATTCATATTATTATAAAACTACCTCTTTTCATCACTACTGATAAATGTTTCCCAAATTTTTACTTTTTGAATAAAAAATTTGTGTTATTTTACATCTTATATTTTTTATTCTATTAGTCAAAAGAAAGTTAAAAAAGAACAAGAAAAAGAAAGTGTAAAGAAAAAATAATCATATAAGTAATTTATATTTATATTGTATGATGTTATCAACAATCTTTTTAAGTTTTTTTTTCAATTTATAATTATATTAATGCTAAAAATGAAATTCATGAAGAATCAAATGAGGATTGTAATTCTTTAATGGTTATTTTACCTAAAAGATTGGCAACCATCATTAAATTCATGGAGGAGAATCATATTAATCTTAGTCCACCTTTATCAGAAAAAAGTATCTTTAGTGAAATTAAAGATGATATATATATTGACCTTAATATATTAATCTTATTGATATTATTTGTAAAAAATAATCCAGAAATAAATATGATTACTTTGAGAAATTCTGGAAGAATAAAGTTGGTCGTGCTTAGGCAAAAATCATTAGCTATACGGAAGATATTTATTTGTTTATGAAATACAAGTTATCTATAGCAAATGTGCTCTATTTTTTTGGAGAAAAGTGAAGTGTCTTATGTCAAACACTAGATGTAATAAATATCTTTGGATATTTTTTTCTCAGCACGTATTATCCAATGCTTTCAGATGAAGTAACACCCATAAAAATTAGACATTCACTTGGTTTGGATGCCCTAAATACGAGTTTAATGTACTTGTAGCAAATTTTGCGTCACTTCAACATTCCTGAGAATATTAAGAATGCCATCTTTAATCTTACTGGTGGACACTCGATTTATTTTAACACTATTACACACTAAATTTCGTGATTGTTGCTTTACAGTACTTTGCTTTATCACAATTACGAAATGGTGTAACATCATGCTCACATGTTTTTTACTGAAATCCAAGCCATTACGAAGCTCGTCTTGTGTTACTTAGAAGTCAATGTGGAACTCCATTTATTATTCAAACCTATCGCCAAGAAATTTCTTAAGTCCGGTAATTTTCGTTGAGATTGATAGTCGAATACAGTTTATCGCCTCCCATTATGCAAATATTCTTACCTACACTTATTTTCTGATTCTGCAAGACAGCCTACTATTACCTTTGAAGAATTTTAGAAAAGTCTATTCATTGGAGTCCATTTAAATTATCTGAATCACTTGGAAGAGGTGATAAATGTAGTTTAATATATGAGAAAAGCTGCCAGATGGAATGGTATCACGCTTCTACAATTGTAGTTCCTGAAAATGAATAAGCGTTGATGTTAGTCCTGTATTCGGTTCTACTGGTTTCCTTGATTTTTATGTTAATGGAGATTGTTGCTGGGGAATTGAGCTTATTCGTGAATGTAGTCTTTTGAAGGAACACGCGAAACGATTTAAAAATGGTGGTGTATATGACAAAATTCCATTGAAAAGTTGGTTATAATTGACTTTCGACACCATTTAAAAAATGTACGTGAAAAAAAAAAACCATTTCTGGTATGCGCTTTATGATGACAATTATAAACAAATTACTATTATACGTGAGGGACATATTGATAAAGTTCTTATCTTGTCCGGTGATGAATAACTTTATTATTGTATTTCATTTGCAATGATATTACAAATCGGCTATGCTTTTTTAGTGCTATATATTACATTGCAAAATAAGCCTGAATTGTGAATATTTGATTAAATTTTTTTGGTCACGTGCATTCTCTTCGTCCAACACATAAATAAAAAAAATACGATGAAAGATTGAAAAGACAAAGATAAGTTAAGATAATTTTTCATTAGATGGAAGAAGGTCAGTGACGTTTCAACTCTTTGCATACTTGATTCTGCAAATATCATGACTTTGAAAAAGAAAATTGAGTTTGTAAAAACGTTAAAATAATTTATTAAGAAAAAATTAGTTTATGATGAAATCAGTCGTGTCATTAATTAGATTATAAAAATGATCGAAACGGTGGTTCATTCATTATGACTATGTATTTATAATAACCTAATGCTTTTGATTTTAAATAAATATTCTTTTTTTTTTTTTATTTATCATGAATTAGTTACACGATTCATTTAATTGTTGTGTAACAAGAAATACCTTTTATTATTATTAAATTGCTTTTTTTAAATTAATTCGCCAGAAATTCCTTGTATGGTTTAGGAATTATCAATAAGATGACAAAAAATATGTTCACACTAGAACATTCTTAAAACTTGCAAAAAAATTGTATGCTATTTGTTTTGATCAAAAGTAGAATTTCGATGACTGGTAACCAAATAGTTGATGTTTAAAGGATCTGATCGAAAATTACCGGATTTTGATCTCCAACTGTTCAAACTTTCTGAATAAATCTAAAGTAAATCACAAATCATTTGCGAATAACCGCTTAAAATTCATCTATATTGAGAATGTAATGAAAACAAAAAACTTTTTTTTAGATTTTATTTTCAAACATTAACGTCAAATTTATAAATTTGTTGATGCATACATATAACTCAAACTATATTGCTAATTAAATGCATACCTTATAAAAACAACCACCAGATGTTGTTTATAATTTATTAAAAAAATCTCGAGAAAAATTTTTTTAAAAATTTATTCGAAAACTTTGGTCATCGGTAAATTTAGTAACTCGATTTCTTCCTCCTCCCTTTCCTTTTCTCTTGCTTCTTTCAGAATTATTCCCCTTCTTGAATTTGTTGGAACATCTAATTATAAAAATAAATGATTAATTTAAAAAAAAAAAAAAAAAAAATAATTTAAATTATAAATTAAAATATTACTTCTAAGGGAAGCAGTGTAACAGGCATTCACGACTACAAATTCTATCTCTATGTGGAGGTATCGGTGAATGAGCTAATGATATTGGGAATATTGGTGATAATGGTGGCAGAGATAATGATTGTTCTTGTTGAGAAGGTAATGGTGAAAGGGATGGTGATGATGATGGTGATGATGTCAGTTGCGAAACCTATATGCAAAAAGTTATTTATATCACGCAACTTTGACCATTCTACCTTAAGAGCATACAGGTTATACTTACAGGCTTATTTTTTCGACGCTTTCTTGATGGGGACCCCACATTGTAATTTATTCGTTCCTGATGCCGAAGATTTTTTTCTCGAATTAAGGGCGGTGCAATTCTTCTTCCGGTCTTTCTTTTCCTATTAATTTTTCGCTGAGGATTCTGAGATCCCGAACCATCCATTATGGCATTAGTGGGAGCGCTATCATCTTCATATATAGGACCCCCATCCAAATTTCCACTAAAATTTTCATCGAAAACCCCACGCAAATCCCCACTTAAATCCATCTGCAAATCGGATCTATTATCTGATATATCATCTTCACGGAAATTTCTAGAAGATCCATCAAGATCAGCTTCCGCCATTCTTATTCTTTCGTCTACTTCAAGAAGAGCGGAAAGAAGGCGTTCTCTTTGAATCTTATATTCAGAGAGGTCACGCTTCTATAAAGATAAAAAAATTCCACAATTTGATCAGATTCTGTCACAGAAGGTGTATCAAAATAATAATAATAATAATAAATTTACGCACCGTCTTGCAATCCCGAATTACTCCTTTCCAGTATTCTTCCAAGTTTTTCTCCAATCGGGAACGTTCCGCATTGATCTGTTAAAGACAAAGACATCAATTTTGTGCAGTTTTTATTTAGTGATAAAGGAAGGTACATAACCAATTCTTTTCCGAAATCAGTAGATCTTTACCAACGACATAGATAGGGTGCCTGAATTGAGGACTTGGAGTGGGTACCAAGTTGTCATATTCAGTAATTCTTCTGAGTCAAACTAGGAGAACCTCAGCTCGATCAGAAGTTACCCTTACTTTACAAAATAAAATAACGTACCTTGTCCTCCAGTGTAGCGAAATTACTTTTTTCTATCTTCTTTGCCTCATATAAAAATTGACCAACCCAGGCATTATCTAGATCTTGCCAAGTTGCTGAAGACGAGCTCAACGACGAAGTAACGACTATTTCTCGAAAGCGAAGGAGAAACCCCCAAAACGATTTATTTTTTTGTCGTTCCAAATATGAAACAAGTTCAACATGACCAACATATGTTTCTTGGGTATTGATATTTTCTAAGGACATTATATTTTATTAGTGAAATATGTGTAAAAATGCGATTGTGGTGTTAATAGTGAGGATGAAGTAAAAATTATGTGCCCTGACAAGACGTGATTCACAATTTGGTAATACGCGGCATATTTTAAAAAATTTTCGCGTTACTTTTAAAAAAATGTCACGTGCTTTTATAATTTTGGTGATGATCAGCAACAAATTTCAAAAATTAAAGGCGATGATGTATCACCTGCACGTTAATGTGGGGGCGATCTGCCTATTCCAGGTTAACTCCTCAATTTGCGAGGTAAAATATTGCGATCTGCCTATTCCAG